CTGGGGTGAATATGAGTAAATGTAGCTAGTAGAATGTTCTATGACATAAAAATGTGGGTTTTTTTTCTTACTTGTATGGGTAAAAATGTATCGATTTCATTTTACTACAAAGTATGATGTAAAAAATTAGGTGAGGTACAGTAGAATAAGCTTGTAGTTTCAGCACAAGGGAGCTAGAAACCAGAGGCTCGGAGGTCCAAGGTCATCTTAAATTGCATAGTTAGTTTGAGGTAAGTGAGATCCTGCCTGAGCTAAGTGAGACCCTGTCTCAAAGAAACAAAATAAATAAATATCACTAGTGGTAGTTTGAATTAGGATGGCCCCTTGTAGGCTTATATATCTGAATGATTAGTATCAGGGAAAGGCACTACATGAGCAGGATTAGGAGGTGTGGCCCTGTTGGAGTACATGTGGTCTCATTGGAGGATGTGTATCACTGGGGGTGGGCTTTGAAGTTTCAAAAGCCAAAGCCAGGCCCAGCAGCTCTTTCTTCCTTCTGTTTGTGGATTCAGCAGAAATCTTAGCTACTTCTCCAGCACCAAGTATGACTGTATGCCATGTAAGCTCTTTTCCATGCTGATAATGGTTTAAACCTCTGAAAGTGTAAGTAAGCCCTCAGTTTATTGCTTTCTTCTATAATAGTTGCCTTGGTCATACTACCTCTTCTTCACAGTAGTAGAATACTAAGCAAGACATCACCAAATATTTGTGGTCATTGTCTCAATAATTGAAAATATGAATTGTTTTATAGGTTTAAAATAGTAAAGAAAGCCATTAGAGTAGAAAGATGGCTGGACAGAGGGTCAATTCTCAGAACCTATAAAGTGGCTCTCAACCATCTGCAACTACATTTGCAAAGAACTTGAAATACTTTTCTATCATCCCATGAGACCAGTCATGTACATGATGCACAAACTTTTCACAAAAGCAAAACTCCTATATACATAAGTTATAATAAGTAATAAAATAATGAGGAAAATATTCTAGTCATTAACTGGGTCTTTCAAATCTTGGAACACAGTAGACACAAGTCTACATTGTTTTAGCAAATACAAATTGTCTCTAATTCATTCTGTATCTTGGCTCATCTTTCTCACCATTGCCACGTGCTAGCAAGTCAAGAGTCACCTACAAGCTGATGAACCAGAAGAAAGCTTTATGTTAAGGGTGAGTCCATCAGATTACAGCTACTCTCACTAGCAGAGTGCCTTCATTTGCAGACTGATTTTCAACAATGTGCAATGTCGTTAGAGTGTGTCTAGCTTTAGAGAGAACATATATCATTGTAGGAGGATGTGGGCCTGCTTTTCATCCCAGCCACCCGGCTAGCTTACACCGGAAATAACCACACAGAAATTGTATTAATTAAATCACTGCCTGACCCATTATCTCTAGCCTCTTATCGGCTAACTCTCACATCTTGATTTAACCCATTTCTATTAATCTGTATATCACAGAGTCGTGGCTTATAGGGAAAGATTCAGTATGTCTTATTCTGGCAGCTCCATGGAGGTTCTCTGACTCTGCTTTCTTCCTCCCAGGATTCAGTTCTGTCTTATCCACCTACCTACGTTCTGCCCTATCAGACCAAGCAGTTTCTTTATCGATTAGCCAATGAAAGCAACACATAAACAGAAGGACCTCCTACACCAATATCATACTGCCTGTCATTTAAGTTCTCCCTTGCTCTTTGTTCAAAGTTTTAGCTAGTTAATTAGTAGCATTTCCACTGTTTAGCCGCTGGCACACTAACTTGGAGAAAATACAGTGAGCGGGCAGAACTGCAAACAGTGTGCATTTTTTCGCATCACCATGACTACATCAGCACGGAAGCAGTGCTAACTGTGCTGTGGTACCCAGTGTCCCACCACTGCTTGAACCTCTGTCTACTGAAAGAGAGAGGCATCTAACAGTTCGCCGTGGTCTGCTGAGCTCTGATTCTGAGTGGACATCGCATGTAAACAGGGTTTGTGAGCACACACACAAAACCATCTCAGCACTTCAGAAATAGAAACTGGAGGCTCAGATACTTCAAGGTCTTCTTAAATTACATAGTGAGTTTGAGGTCAGTCTGAAATAAATGAGACCCTGTTGCAAAGAAACAAGATAGCAAAAAGAAATAAATAGCTACCATTATATATTTTGGGTACATTGCCTCAATACACATTTGAATGTTTGCATGGGTTTAAAATAATGAGGTGTGGATCACAAGAGATGGATCCATTGTTAAGCTGAACAGAAAAGGCTGGGGCAGTTAGAACTGACATGTGCTTATTCCTTCCTCACTGTTACACACTACAGACTCTGAAATATGACTGATAGACAAAAGCTAGGAATGCTAAGTAGATACCTACCTTCTGGAAGCTAATAAAATATTATAATTTCATAAAACCATTTCTGGCATAATCTACTAATAAAACATGAAATGAATTGTTTATGATTAGGGATGAAAAACATCCAGGGTTACAAAGAGCAACATACAAGACAATGATGTGCCAAGAAGGACAGCCAAGGCCTCAATTCAGCTGTACCAATTTCAACACAAGAACATAGGGATCCAAGTGATTTACTTAGAATCTGTTACTGTGATGGTTGGAATGAGAATGGCTCCAATAAGCTCCTATATTTTGAATGTTTACTTAACAGTTAGTGGAACTATTTGGGACAGATTAGGAAGTGTGACCTTCCTGGAGGAGGTGTGTCACTGGGGTTGGAGTTTTGAGGTTTCCTAAGCCAATGCCAAACCCAGTTTCTTTCCTTTTTGGCCTGCTGTTTGCAGACAAAGATATAAAGCACTGAACTATGTATGTATGTATGTCTGCTTCTGGCCATGATAATCATGAACTCACCCTGTAAAACTGTAGGGAAACCCCGACTTTAAATGCTTTCTGTTATGAGTTGCCTTGGTCAAGGTGTCTCTTCATAGCAATAGAACAGTGACTAAGATAGTTATTTTCTTGTATGTCCAAAGAGAGAAAAGAATGTTGTTTCTCCTGGTATGCTACTGTGAACACTAACCTGAGGACCAAGAAACTGATAGGAGGCCATGCTCAGCAGGTGTCAAGTTCTCCATATTATGTAAAAGCAGATGGCTTGTGAGGTGCCCAAGATTAGTAAGTGTAAGATCCAGCCCAGTTTAAAATAAAGGATATTAACAAAACCCTAACAGCTGGCTTACTATGAAAACTTTAGCTCTGAAAATTAGATTTCAGGGAAAAGTTTGAGCCAAATATGTTAGTTTTCTCCTCAGATGCCAAGTAGTCTGTTGTGTAGACTTAACTGTGGTCTTCCGTCTCATTCGTCAACATTATAATTGTCAAATGATTTCTTAATTTTATTGATGCACTGTGGAAGTTCATTCTGTGTTCTTGCTCTTTAGCTTCATTGAAGCTGCATGGATTGAGGTTTGCAACTAGAGATACAGTCTGTTTCTGGGTTGTCGGTGTTGCTCAGTTCTGCCTTCAAATGAAACTGCCAGTCACTTTGTCTATCCTTGTTTGGAAGAAAAGTGTGTTGTATGTCTTGCCTCTATTTACCTTAAAGGACAATATAGATGAAAGTGTACATGACCTTTTCATTCACCTAGGAACAAAAATAAGTGGATGGACAGCAATAAACCACATCTAAGAAAGTACCTGATGCCACTCAAGGCTACTGTGTATAGGCAGAGCTGAAGAGTCCTGGAGCTCCTCAAGATAAAGAACTTCAAGAGAAGGCCAGAAGAAACTCCTAATTTTGAACAATGATAGTTGGTTTGTTTACTTTGTCTTGCTTCAACATAGCTAACCACAGTCCCTTAATACAAATATTGCACCATTAGCGCCCATAACTAAACAATGCAGAATGGGACCACACCGCAACACTTCCCCATTAGCTACTCTTGGCCTTGTTCACTGAACTGTTGGATCACTGTAGAATGATTCGCTGATGCCCCTGCAGCCTTCACTCCACACTCACATCCATCCAAGGATCCACAAGCAGGTTATGTGATATTGCTGCGGTGTGCAGCAATTTTGTCCATCAGTCTGATGACATGCTGCCATGGGTACCAGCCCATTTGCTTACTGGGTAAGTCTCCTCACTGCCTCTGCATTATAGAGTCTGATCTCCATCTCCATATTGGACTCCTTCCTTTCACCTTTCTCTTTCTAGAGCCACAATTCAGCACGCAAAGTGATGCTGGCCCAGTATTGAATATCTAATTCAGTGTAGCAATGTAGGCACAGACCTCACGGCCACTTTGGTCCTTGTTTTAGCCATTGGCTATCTAATTCCAGTTTTCAATAGCTTATGATTTGGATTTTTATTCTTAAAAAAAAGAAAAAAATATCATGTTCTAACTAGGATCTTTTCCAAAGCAGACAAGTCGTACAGAATAACAAATGGTATAACATATGGCTGGAAGCAGTTGTCTTTATGAAATAATTTTACCACTGTACTAGGAAACAGTGTGTGATTATATCAAAAGTAAATGAGCAAAGAATGAATTTGTATGACAAATTTGGAAAAACTAGAATCTGCTGGCTACAAATTTAATAACATGAAAATAATTCTTTTCTCCTTGCGGTAGTACAGCATCTTATTCTGAGCTCTAAAATAATTCCTAAATTAATTAACTTGTCTGCTGTGTTCTACAGATGTTCATTAGAAGGTGTGAGGAAATATGCTAATATGCCTTTTGAACTAACTTGAAAGTCAGATTAACAATTATGTTGCACACATGTAATGTTTTCTCCAATGCTCTTTTTTTTCTATTAAAAAAAAAAACAAAAAACTGATGCCAATGACTACCAACAATGTATAATATATATGTATACTATATTATATGTAATGTGATTATTATATATTTACTAATATATATATATAATATAATATGTTGTTATATGTTAATAAGGTTTATTTAATACAGTGCTTAAATTCTCTGAGATACCTGACTTTATTTCCTGTCCTCCTGTCCCACAAATCTGCTGATGTAAATAGGCAATTTATAGCTTGAAATCATGACGGTAAAGAAACACCTCATTTGAATCAACACTGCACCCAAGAGGGAACAACCCTTCAGTGCCTCACCGTTATTTTATTTTTTTATCAAGACAAGAGAGGAAAAGTGTTGTTTTCAGTCAATCAGAGTGAGTTTAGCTACCTCCTGACTCTATAAGAGAGGGATTCAGTGTGACTGTCTTCAAAGGCACTAGGAGTAAGGAAATTTCACATTATGTGAAATTCATTTCTAGAAACTTCATTTCTAGGAATTCAAATACCTCAGGATTTGAAGACTGCTGAGAGAGAGTATATTCAGAATCAGGTGGATCATGTGACATGATAAAATAGACAGTCACAAAATTATTGTATCTCACATGGGAAATTCATTGATTCTTTGGCTTAACAGGGCCTTCTGCCCCATCCACATCACATATTAAGAGAAGGCTACGGAAAGAAAGTTAATTTAGTATGTTTTATTATGAATTATGAGACTAAATGAATTTTCTGTTTTATATTTAATATACAGGGCTATGAGTTTAAACTCCCGTACTTTTATAAGAAAAGATAAGTGAATCTGGCTTTATTTCTGTTCAGGTCAAAAGCCATACATAGCAGCAAAGGCATAAAGGCATAAAGGTCAGTTTGGTGTTGATATGGAATGTATGGTCAAGAAACAGAGAATGGTGAATGATTCTTCTCAGACAGTTTATTCCTTTTCGTGCAGTCTGGGAGCCCAGTCTATGGAACAGTACCACAGAAATTTAGCCTCATGCTACCTGTATCAGTCAATGGAATTTTGGGAAAAAAAATCCCTCATTGACACTTCCAGGAATTCATCTCCAGGGTGATTCTAAATCCTCTCAAGGTGACAATCAATATAAATCACAGACTCAGTTACATCTCTTGATGTGGCAATATGCCTGAAGGGAATGATTTAATGAGAGAAAGGTTTAATGGGACTCGAGTGAATGGGTTGAAGCTTGGATAGAAAGGTATTCAGGAAGACAGCAGTCAAGGAATACCACAAAGTCACACCACACAAATAACCTCACAGAAGAAATTTATTGGGAGGAAAAAAAAAACCAGGAGGGTTGCTGCCTCTGTTCAAGTGAGAAACAACAGAGAACTGAGCAGCAAGCAGGGTTTATATAGATTTTCTTGTGAAGGGAGTGGGTGGACCTCTACAGAGTGAAACTTTCCAGGGTAGGGATTAGTAGGATTTCAATTCCAGAGCTTGGGCTTTTTATCTGGAGAAAAGGGTCTGGGACTGGTTGTTAGGGCAATTAGAGTTCTGTAGGTTGAACCTGGCAGTTGAAGGTCATCAGGGGAGGGGACCTGGCCACTCATATACCTAGAGGGGCTTGTAGTCATGGAGGGGAAAACTTGGCAGTAGGGGTGAGATGTGGACTGGTGTACAGATAGAGAAAGATAGGAAAGGGGGGTGGGGCTTTAAAGACTTCCAGGCTTGCTCTCAGTGGCCACTTCCTCTATCTCCTAAAGGTTCTACAACTTTCCAAAATAGCACTGTTTGCTAGCTGTGGATGAAGTATCCAAACACCTGTCTCAAAACACAACAGTCTCATATTAACTGATCATTAAAGTCAGAATCTCTCTCATCCTGATAGACTAAGTAGCTCACCTTGGACTGATTTTTTTTTCTACAGAATACTCTTTGTCTGTATTCACAGAAGGTGTGTGTGTGTGTGTGTGTGTGTGTGTGTGTGTGTGTTACAGAATAAGTATAATGATAGCTGTGTGTTGTATGATTAATTTATAATGATAGTTATAACTAGATAAATGGAAGCACATGAATGAAGAGTCTTTTATTTTATCTATTTATTTTATTAGATGATGTCTCTCTATTGTAACTCTAGCTAACCTGGGTCTCACACAGATACACCTGGAATTAAAGGTGTGTGCCACTAAGCATGGCCCTTAGAAGCCAGTTTTAAATTAGAATAACTCGTCAGTTAGAATCAAATAAACCCATGGCTAGATGAATAAGAGAAGAGACCCCTTGTTACAAACACTGTCACTGGCTTAGTCTGACAAAGCTTCTTGTCTCCTGATTTTTGAATTCTTTTCCTAGCATGAAAGATGAATGCTAAAAAAAAAAAAAATCTGACACTATCTCAGAATTTAGTATAAAAACGAGTTATTTACTTAGGGGTAGACTCACAGAGGACAGTCCTCTGCATGAACAAGGAAGAGGAACTGAATCCAGCAGTCAGAAAGGAGAGCAAGTGTGTACTTTACCTGGGCATTTATAGTATAAGAGGCCACGCCCAAGTGGGAGAGTATATTTTTAAAATTGATTTTATTGAGCTCTTGCTGTGGGAGAATTGTCTGTATTCTGTCAATCATGTTTTAAATAAACACTGATTGGCCAGGCAGGAAGTATAGGTGGGTCAACCAGATAGGAAGTAAAGGAGGGGCAATGAGAATAGGAGAATGTTGGAAAGGGGGAAACCCATTCCTCCCATTCCTGTCCAGATGTGACCTACCCTGCTGAAAAGGGTACTGAGCCATGTGGCTAACATAGACTAGAATAATGAGCTAACATAAGTTATAAGAGCTAATATGAAGCCTGAGATAATGGGCCAATCAGTTTCTAATCTTATGGAGACCTCTGTGTGATTTCCTTTGGGGCTTACTGGCTGTGGGGTACCAGGTGGGACAGATAACCCAACAAGCTGGCCCACATGTTACAAGCTCTATATTTTTCTCTGTTTCCCTTCCTGTCTCTCTCCTCTTCAACCCTCTCCTATAGTCCCCATGCTCCCAATTTACTCAGGAGATCTTGCCTTTTTCAACTTCCCATGTATATTAGACCCATGTATGTCTCTCTTAGAGTCCTCGTTATTGTCTAGTTTCTCTAGAACTGTGAATTATAGGCTGAATTTCTTTGCTTTATGTTTAAAAACCACTTATGAGTGGGTAAATATGATAATTGTATTTCTGGATCTGTGTTACCTCACTCAATATGATGTTTTCTAGCTTCATGCATTTGCCTGAAAATTTCAAGATGTCATTTTTTTTCTGCTATGTAGTACTCCATTGTGTAAATGTACCACATTTTCCTTACCCATTCTTTGGTAGAGGGACATTTAGGTTGTTTCTGGCTGTGACAAACAATACTGCTGTGAGCATAGTTGAGCACATGTCCTTGTGGTACGACTGAGCATCCTTTGGATATATAGCCAGCAAAAAGTGGTATTGCTGGGTCTGGAGGAAGGTTGTTTCCTAATTTTCTGAGAAATTGCCATACTGATATTCAAAGGGCCTGTACCTGTTTCTGTTAATGTCCCTGGTCTGGATCTGCTCCTGCAGAGGTCCCTGGCTTTGAGTTGGTCCTGCAAAGGTCTCTGGCTCTGATCTATCCTCTAGGAGGTTCCAGACTTGGGTGTGCCCATATGCACAGAGGACCTGGCTCAGGCTTACTCCCTCAGTAGTCCCAGACTCACACTTGGACCCACAGAGGTTTCTGGTTCCTGTCAACTCCCTGGGAGGTCCCAAACTGACGCCCAGACCCAAAGAGGTTCTATCTCATGCCTACTCCCTCATAAGTCCCAGACTCATGCCCAGACCTGCAGAGGTCTCTGGTACCTACCTATAACCTCATAGGTCCTAGACTCATGCCTGAACCCACAGAGGTCTTTGGCTCTGGTCCACTCCCTCAGAGGTTGCTCCCTTGTACCTGCTCCTGTGGAGCTCACTGTATCAGGTCTGTTCTGGCCCAGGTCACTGGCTCAATCCTGCTCCTGTGGAGCTTGCTGTCACAGGACTGCTCTGGCCCAGGTTGCTGGCTCAGTACTGCCTCCTCAAATGCCCCTAGTCTGGATCTGCTCCTGGTCCCGTGGAGTTCACCTTCCCAGGCCTGCTCCAACACAGGTCGCTGGCTTAGCCCTGCTCCTGTGGAATTTTACTGTCTCAGGCCTGCTCCAGCATACATCACTGGCTAAGTCTCATGGCCTGGTATCTTAAAGGCTACTGGCTGAAGGAATTCCTACAGCACCGCATGTTTGATCACCTTCTGTTAAGTTTTTTTTTTTTTTGTTTTACTTTAAACAGCTAACATCACAACATACCACAAAATTTCCCATCACCTTGAACCAATAGGATGACCTTGGGTACAGTTTTATTTTCTTGAATTCTGAAGAAGCCCACTCTATTTAAATTCTTCCTGAGCACAGTTCAGCTGCTATAAGCATTCCTGAGCTCTGCGTCTTACTAATTTAACTTTATTCTTCTGTCACACAACTACCCATGCTGCAGACTGAGAATTCAAGTGCGCTCTCCACACATGCGTACAACACTTCTTTCCATGTATCAATGGAAAGCTATGAACTCATAAGCTTGGATGCCAAATTAATAAGGAGCGGACTTTGGATTGATTCTATCCATTGTCTGCTCAAAGAAATAACCTTCTTATATGACGAGGAAGGTTATTTAGATTAGGTTAACTGAGGTAGAGCGATCCACCCTAAATGTGAGTGTCACTATTCCATGGCCTGGCATTAGAAAATGCATTAGAAAAGATAAAGTTAACTGAACAGAAGAATTCATCACTCTGCTTCTTTGCAACAGATGCCATATGATCAGTAATCTCCTACTCCTGCTGCTGACTTTGCTGCCATAAAGGACTTCTTTCTCAGATGCAAGCTGAAATAAATTCTTTATTAAGTTTTTTGGTCATGTTTTGCTGCAATAAGAAAAGCAACTAATACAAACACAGAAACTACCTGACAGCCAGCCATATGCCCTATTATTGTGACAGATTTGTGGATGCTTTTTAGATTAAGCTAAACCTAAAACAGATATTATAAACTATGTCAGGCTGGCAAAGAATATGCATTTCTCTTTTAGTTTTCACCATGAATGTTATCGTCAAACAAAATGTGAAAATTCTTTAGACATAGGATCATGGTGCTCAGAAAGCACAAAGACCAAGTCAGAAGACAGATAATGGGAGTGCTCATAAGGCAGGCAAGATTGGAGCAATACAACTCCATATGGAACAGTA